CTACTTGGGTGCCACACACTTTGGGACTGCCTTTCCTATAGTCAGCATTAGACGCTGGTCATAGCTGCCATTAGAAGATTTGTTTCACTAGGAAGGCACCATCCCCTCCTCACTGGCACACTTCTCCCCTGGGTCCATCTGCCCTCCACTTGGGGAACTCCTTCCCCTCTCCTCAGCTCTTGGTGTGAGATCCAGCTTTTGGATGCTGGTCTGCATTCCCGAGGAGAGGGAACTTTGCAGCCTCTAAGCCTCAGGGGCTCATAGCCCAGTTCAGGCTTCAGGGGGGAATTCCCCTTTCTACTCATCCCCCCTCCCTTAGCCAGACTCTATGATGTTTCTTCAGTATTTCCTGACTCGAAATATGTCCACTCAGGTATATTTCTCTGGCTTTTCCAAGCTGGTCAAGCAGTATTTTAGGAGTAAGTTGAGTCTGTAGCTGGGAGCAGGGGCACTCTGCTGCTTCTCACAATGCTACCATCTTCCCTACCAATACTGATGATTTTAAAATCTTTTTGTTTCTCAAATATAAGGGAAATTAAAAGGAGACACCCTGCATTCTTATCACATGCTACGTAACTTGGTTATGGAGACTGATAAATTAGTAACATTCATTTCACTGTGAGCTTTCAGGAGACGAAGAGTTCAAAGACCTCAACTTTCAACCACTGGGAAAGACACTAATTAAAGACTCCAACATTGTGGGAAAGGACTTTTCAGGTGCCTAACTGTAAATGACATCTGCCCCTGTCTCTGACACTTACCTCTGTCCACAGTGGATATTAAAGACTTTTCAAGGATGAAAAGCACAAACATCAGAAATAGCCATCCTGAGACACCAAGGCTTGTTTACCAACAAATTGTTGCTTCTTATATTAATAATCATTATTATACTTTCTGTTTAGACTTTTCTCAAACTCTCTATATATAGCCCAACTGTTAATAATGACTGAAGGTGTATAAGATAGCTTCATGTAGTATCAATAATACTCTTTTTCTGATTTCTCTTTTTAAATTTAGAAAAAAAATGCTATTGTGTTGTACCTGATCTTCATGAGACTAATTCACACAAAACCCAAATTGACCATTTGGAGGTTTTTTTAGCTGGCAACTGCGAGCGGGCTCCTGTCCAAGACAAAACTCGCAGCCCCAAACAGTCTTTGCAGGGAGAATATAAAGGCAAAAACCACATTCTGTTTGGTTAAGGGGGGAGTTGGTGGGGAGACTAGTGAAGCAATACACAAAAGCTACAATAAGCGTTAATTAACCTTCAGTTAGCTATTCCCTGGAACTTTGTGGGTGGAAATGTTTTACAAAGAGCCAAGGGAGGGGAAGAGGTAATTGCTTCTACTAAATTTTGTTGCTCTTGCTTATCTTCAAGGTAGCGATTGTAAGGGTAAAAGATGGGAGTACTATACCTGCTATACTTCAATTGCAAAAAGTAAAAAAGAAATATTAAGATATTTTATATGTAAACTCTAAAACTTAAGTATGAAAATATGCTTAACCCCTAACCTAACAGGGTCCACTAACTATATGAGTTCCAATAGAAGCTGCAATGGCTATAAAAACATGGTCCTCTGTAAGTGCTGCTAAGGCACAGAAAATTTACTTTTAAAACTCTTACTGTCCCCTGGTCTCTGGAATTTTAAATGCTAATTGTAATTTACAGCATTGTGTTCTTACAGTCTTGGGCCCCTACCCCAACTCCTCTGGCAAAAAAATTCACAAAAACAAAAGCATAATATTACAGCTTCCAATTGTGCCAGTAGTGAAATGAAAATAACAACAGCATTTAAATGTGCTCAATGGAAAGTAAATGGGCCATAGTAAATAGAAACTCATCTCAAGGTCAGATTATAAAAACTGAAAAGCTGTATGTTTTTCCCTCAAACAAAAAGTGAATGTTATACTAGATGCAATATAAAAGAGTGACACAGGTAACAAAACATGAATCCTAATAGCCTTTGGATTAGAAATAATCCAGAGTGTTTTTCTTAAATACCTCACTGCCTCCCATTAACCTGCTTTCACTTTCGAGGAAAAAGAAAATCAACCTTGTCTTTTATCCAAAATCATGGTCTTTCCACATGCCCAATGGTCCATTGTTCAGCAAGCCAAATGCTAACACAGACATCCTAGAAATGAGCCTTCGTTGTTATCCAACTAGAAGTCTGTTCCTCAACGCATCTTTTGGATTTATGACCATGAGGGGTATGTGTGGCCAAAAAGGGGCCTGACAAGTGTATTAGGCCATCCTAACCTGACAAGCTGAGGGAAGGCCTGCGTGATAGCCTTGCAAACTCAGAGACCCAAAGTAGCCCCAAAGACTGATCTGAAATGAAAACTTTCTCACCAAAAGTAGTAGTTATGTGCTAGGCCAGTATTTGCCATGACAAAGTACATCTTTCCTTGACTGGGCCTGTCTATTGTCTTTTGCCTCGACAATAACAAGCCTTTGGAATGTCAGGGTATCTTACCTTTTTTGATCCCTGAGGACACAGCCAATATACCAGGACAGAAACTACAAAACCACTCATTACTACTTCATCATGGTGTTGACTATACCCACTTATATAAAGGATGTATCCTTTTACTTTTTATCTAATCCCAAAGGTTTACCCACTTTACTCTCTCCCACCTACCTTATTACCAATGAAATTCATGTAACCCATTTACATCTTCTAATTATAACATAAAGTAAGATAGAAAACTGCCTTTCCCTGGAACATTATCTCAATGTGTTGCAATTTTAGTTCCTGTCAATTGTCAGCACTTTGCCTCAAATAAATTCAAGAATTCTTACAGGTTTACAGGTTTTTTATAATGACAATTAACTTATGTTGCTATATTATATATAATTATGATAATAATTCAGGTGCAAACACAAGGTGCTATTCCTTGTGGCTTAAAGAAAAAGGATTACTTACTACGACCTCAGGCGAGGCCTGTGACTTGACTTGGGCACGGCATGGGGCAGGCTGAGCGCCACCGCAATGCACATCCAGGGCAAACCCCCAGCCCACTCCCAGCCCGGAAGCCCCGCCCTCAAGGGTGGAGCCATGGTTAGGAAGAGAAACCCGGAGCCTCCAGGGCCGCTTGTGCCCTAGGGAACGCTGGAAGCGGAAGTGCGTCATAGGGGCCGGCAGCAAAGGCTGGCTGAGCATCCCGTCGGGGACCTCGCTAGCTGACAGTGGTACCTCAGGACGAAAGGTCACAGTTGCCAGGGTTGCTTGGCGCCCGTGGACAACGGGGGCCAGGTTGGTGGCAGTTAGGGATCCAGGTGGAGGTGGTGTTAGGGCCCAGAGAAGGTGAGCACCGCTCACAACTGCCTTTCTATGTACGTGGCTGGGTGGGAAGTTGGCGAGGGAACAGGGATGGGCTGGAGGTTTGAGGGGCGGACTAGGGAGTGGATTCCAGACCACACGGGGTTACCGGAGTGGGGCAGGTTGCTGGGGGTACTCAGGTGTGGGGTATTGTGGATCGGAAGCCGAAATCTGTGAGGGGTCAGGGGTATTTTATTGAAAACCGGAGTTTTGGGATGTCATTGGTTAGGGGTCTGCTGGAGCTGTTGGGGAATTTAGGGTACTGTGGGTCACGGAATCGAGTTCTTGGAGGGAGGTAGAGGAGTTGTGGAAACTGTGACGCGTGGGACTCTAGAGGATCCTGGGTACTGTGGGTATTGTGGTTCCTAGGTCTTCGGGGTATTAATAGACCTCGGGAATTTTGAGGATACTGGCGGCTCAGGGTACTTAAAAGCTTGGGGGTCTACCTGGGACAGGTATACTGGGCAATAAGGAAGCCTGTGTGGAAGGCGGTGGGAAGAGTGGTTTTGGATGGTCAGGGGATAACTAGTACCATGGTACTACTACCATGTACTGGGGTCTCAGAGAGATAAGGGGGAGTACCAGCTGTGGCCTGGAGAGGCTTCTTAGTGGAGGCCTGTATCCCTGGGTTGCTGTGGAGACAAGGTACTGGGGAGGCTGCTTGGGGGATAGGGGCTGTGCCAGACAAGCCAGAAGGACCTAGGTCTGGGGAACCTGGTGTACCAAGGGTTATGGTGGGTTTACAGATGTGCTCAGAGGACAGGGAGGTGGTTTGTGGATGTTCACTGGAGAAATGGTTGTCTGAAGTACTAGGAGCAGCCAAGAGAATAGGGGCAGGGACATGCCTACTTGGGAGATGGTGGGGATGCCTGATCCTGGGTCGGGAGATCTGGGATCTCTCAATCCAAGCACTGTCTCTCACACATCAAGGTGACTCTTCCATCCTGCTCAGATCCTCCTGCTTTGGTACCCTGCCCCCCAGTTGTGCCTCAAGGTCTTGTGCTTCTGGAATTGTCCCATCTGAGCTGGTGAGTGAACAGAGCTGTTGGGTGAGCAGAGCTGGTGGGCAGGTAGCTGCACAGGCGACTTGTGTTGTCTGAGTGTTTGGAGCCAAGCACTTGGCTGGAGCCTGGCTTTCCAAAGACCAGTGGGGGAGACTAGCCTCAGAGAAAGTGGGGAAGAAGAGGCCACAGATTGTCTGGTTCTAGCACTTTCAACTTTAATTTGGGCAAAGAGAGGGATTGTTTTATCAGTACAAAACCTTCATCTATGCAAACACCAGCTGCCTTCTCCAAGACCCTCCCTGGTGCCTGGAGCTAGGCTGTGTCCCTTCTCCAGGGAGTTGCCTGCACCCTTTTAGGGAGCTAGGTGGGCTCTAGCTTGCCTCACCTGCTGCTGCATGGAGGGTGGGGAGCTGGCCCTGGGACAGCTGCTTCTGTGTCCTGGGTGCAGGTCAACACTGATGGAGGCTCGGACGTTCAGCTGTTTTTAAAAGCATTTGTCCATCCAGGTCTTTTTTCCATTTAGTGTAATCTGATGATTTACAAACAACAACCATCTCAGTGATGAGGGCTTTTATTGAGATCACCTTATCTGACAAGGCAGAGAAACAGTCTTGTTTCTCCTCTCTGGGCTTCAAGAGCTGATGGTTGTGTTGTTTCAGGCAGGGCCCCAGCTATGGCAGCGACTACCATAGTGCATGACACATCTGAGGCAGTGGAGCTGTGCCCTCTGTACAGCCTCTACCTGAAGCCCATCACCAAGATCACTATCAGTGTTGCCCTCCCGCAGCTGAAGCAGCCCAGGAAGTCTGTTTCTAACTGGGAGGTGATGGAGAGGCTGAAGGGTATGGTGCACAACCACCAGTTCTCCACGCTGCGCATTTCCAAGAGCACCAAGGACTTCATCCGCTTCGAGGGCGAGGTGGAGAACAAGAGCATGGTCAAGTCTTTGCTGGCCTGCCTGGAAGGCAAGACCATCAAGCTCAGTGGCTTCTCTGACATCCTCAAAGTGCATGCGGCTGAGCTCAAGATTGAGTTCCCCACCCGCCATGACTGGGATTCCTTCTTCCTGGACTCCAAAGACATGAACAAAACGAAGCCTGGAGAGCGGCCAGATACGATCCACCTGGAGGGGCTGCCCTGCAAGTGGTTCGCCCTGAAGGCATCAGGCTCTAAGAAGCCCAGTGAGGAGGTCCTGGTCAAGGTGTTTGAGAAGTTTGGGGAGATCCGGAATGTGGACATCCCCATGCTGGACCCCTACCGGGAAGAGATGACTAGGCACAACTTCCATACCTTCAGTTTTGGGGGCCACTTGAACTTCGAGGCATATGTCCGGTACTGTGAGTACTCAGGCTTCATCCAGGCCATGAGCACCCTGCGTGGGATGAAGCTTATGTACAAGGGTGAGGAGGGCAAGGCTGTGGCCTGCAACATCAAGGTGAGACTGGGTCTCCACGCTGGGTGGGTGTCCATGCTTCAACCTGTTCAGAGTAGGGGGTAAAACAACACAAAAGATGTGTGATCGAGAATTTCAGGTGCAGAGACAGATATACAGCCCCCAAATCTGTGGATTTTGCTGAATCCATATCTTTAGTAAAATGTGGGACTCCAGGTATTTGAACGTAATTGAGGTTGGGTTCTCTGAAAGGAATTCTGACCTATATGAGCTGGAACAACTTGGTGCCTCCAAAACCTCCTCTTTAAAAGAAGGCGGGGCCTTTCTTCTATTGGTGTTGACTCTGTCCTGTGTTCCTTTGTGGTGACAAGAACGCTAGCCTCTCAGAGGAGCCGGGGTTTTTATGGCTGCTAGGCAATTTGTACCCTGTTAGTGAAAGCAGAGGCCCGGCTTATTTCACTTAGCATAATATTCTCCAGGACCATACATACTGTCCCAAAGGGTACGGAGAGTGACTGGGGAGGGGGAAGGAACGGGGGGGAACGGGTCATTGGGGAGAAAAAGGGACATCTGTAATACTTTAAACAAAAATAAAAATTATATAAAAAAAAAAAAAAAGGAAAGCAGAGGCCCTATGGTGGGCGGGTCCTGGGCATGGTCAGTGGGATGGTGGGCCCCTGGGAGCAGAGGGGAAAATTGGCTCATAAAAGGGGCAACTTTTTTATTCTTAGTAAGAAATAGGCAAGTTAATGTCTCAAGGTGAGTTCATCCTCCCTGGTTGAATTGGGACTTCACAGATGTGTGTGTCAGTGAAGGGCAGTCTGGTGCCAGAAACTGTGATTCCCACCCATATTCTGGGTTTGACTGGCTCCTGAGTGGAGAGCACCCTGTACCTCTTATTGTCTGAAAGAGAGGGCATGCCTGTTGGTGTGGGCTGTGCTCCCCGTATTGAGAGAACAGTGTTGTTGGCCTTTCCACTTTGCACTGTTTTCTCCTGAAGGTGTCTCTTGATTCAACCAAACACCTAAGCGATGCCTCCATCAAGAAGCGGCAGCTGGAGAGACAGAAACTGCAGGAACTGGAGCAACAGCGGGAGGAACAGAAGCGGCGAGAGAAAGAGGCAGAGGAACGGCAGAGGGCCAAGGAGAGGTAGGCTTTGTATAGGGGTAGGGCCTTGGGACCCAGTGCCTGACTTGTGTGTGCTTGTGTGCATGTGCCTGCACATGCATCTGTGTGTGTGCACCTGTGTATGTGCATCTGTCCAAGCCTTGACTGCCTGGAACTTGGTGCAAAGTGTGCATGTACCTGGTCCCACCTCGAAATTTATTCTCACTTGTGACATGGCCTGTGCAGGTCCTGTGACTGTGCCTGTCCTCCAGAGTGTGTCACTCACTCATCTCTGTGTGTCCTGTTGTACGTTTTGTATTTGTTTGAAACTAAGCTAACAAAATGACTTAGCGATCTAATGGAGTGGCCCGATTTTAATAAAATTAGTTCCAGTTGATATGCCTTTAAAGTAACTGCCTCTATTCTTCCCTTCCGGTTAGCTGTCAGGAGGCCAACTCAGGTCACAGTTTACTCTCTTTTATCTTTCCTTGTTGTTGTTATAAAACAAGGATATTAACCAAGGATATTTCCTCAATTTTGGGAAACAGAAATTCTGCATATTACATCCCTGCCTCTGTGCTTTTGGAGTATCTAGCATTTGTGTGTGCATTTGCCTCTGTTCTGTGTATACTGAAGTTCCACCTCAAACATAGGGTGGGGAGGTGGGGGGTGTTGGTGTAAATCATTCCTGACCAGTCTTTCAGTTTATATCTCTGTGGAGCTGATGTAACTGTGACCCACTGTTGATCCTTGTTTTCTCTTCCATTCTTCCCTGGGTCAATTATGCAGCTGCAAAGACATATCTGCACAGAGCCATTTCCATCTTTGCCTCTGAGCCCTCATCCAGCTTGTGGGTCCAGACCAAGCTGTTGTCATTGTATGAACCCCACACTGTGGTCTGGGGAGGCCATATGGGCAGTAGGTGGGGGAGAGGGTTTGGGTCAGGAAGGAGAGAGCCCTGACCAGTCCTCTATCTGATCCATGGAGCCAGGTCCCCTCTACACAGAGCTGGATGCCTGGGGAGCATGGGACCAGTTCATGGTGAGGTGACCATCTTCAGGGCTGTGTCCTGAGTAGAAGAGATGGATGGTAGACTGAATAAAATGTCAGCTCTCTTGGGCATAGCCAGGGAAAGCCCAGGCAGGAAGTTTAGTTGAGGAGACACATCCTGCACAGTGAAGACCAGTGCAGCCTGTGTCTGGAGCGGGCTTGTCCCCAAATTTCAACCATGACCTGTAGACTGTACTGTCCTCCCAAGGTATTCCTGCATTTTGGAAAGCAGCTCTGGGGGCCCTTTCCTTGGCATTTTGGGGAGAAAAAAGCAGCTCAGGAAGTGGAAGGCATTATGTGGTCCTTGACTACAGATGCAGACTCTGTGTAGGGTGGAGGCAGGGTTAGGACAGAGGGTCCCAGACAGCAGGGTGGTGCTAGTGCTGTGGCTCTGCAGTGGTGGGAAGGGGTCCTGTGTTTTGTGCCAGCTGGGGTGGGTGTGGGGCTCAGGGGCAGGGCTGTGGTCATGCCAGGATGGCCCTTCCTCTCTGCCAGAGCCTGCAGGCTGGACTCGGTGCCTCAGTACCTTCTCCACATCTCCTTCATCACAGGTGTGGGTGGTACAGATTTGATGGGGAACAGGGTGCAGCTGCAGCTGTCACGTTATTAGATAGGATGAGCTTGGACTTTAGTCATGTTTGTTTAGAGCAGTGACCACTTGCAAGCTCCCGGATGCCACAGTTCTTGAACCTTGTGGGGCCTGGCCCTTGAGTGTGATAGGAAGTCTCAGTGCTCTGCCAGGCTCCATCCTGTCTGTCATCCATGGACTTCTGGCTTCAGGTCTCATATATTTGTTTTCTTTATCGCTTCTGGTGCAGCTGCCTTTATCACTGAGTCCTTTGTCCCTAAGTTGTTTGATAATCTTAAAGCCAAGGAGCAGAGGAAAATGCTGGGTGAATATATCCCTGGTTCTTTCAGATTTTCCCTGGGGGCTCACTCAATACTGGTTGCATTTGGATCCTCATTTCATGGATTCTACCCCAAAAACATTGTTAGGAGGTAAATTGGGTGTGCTGTGGATTTACTTAAAGGAAAGTTGCCATCTCCACGTAGCATTTATGGAGTGACCTCCCAGGATTTCTGTGAAACATGGGTGCTCTTTGGTACCTCAACCAGGGGCACACCCCAGAGCAAGCTCTTCTTGACTTTCTGTCATTGTGGATTTGCGTATTATAGAATTTCAGACAAGTGGGATAATATGGTATGTGATCCCCTGAGTGCGGTCTTTCCCCTTGTGGAATGCTTCCAGAATGTTCCTTGTGGCTGTGTATGGTTGGGTTTCATTCCTCCTCTCAGACTGAGGTTCCCAGAGTGTCACTCAGCCGCTGAGGGCCCCAGGATGGGGAATTTGTCCCCACTGGGAGTCGCTGTGGCATTGACTTGGCATTTTAGGAGCTGTTCCTTTCTGAACTGTATCCAGTACCTGTGACCATCCTCTCCTGTATGGTCCTCCACTTGCTGCTGGTATGTCTTGTTCAGAGGAAAACTGTCGTCATATCAAATCCATGGCTCCCTCTCTGCAGGGCTTCAGGTTTGGGTCCCATGTAGCAACACTGTACCTAGAGAGATTATGAAACTCTCGCCTTTTGCGTCTGCTGCTTCCTGAATTGTTTTTTTGGCTCAACTGAAATGAATTTGGGGATAAAGAGCCGAAATAGTTAGTTGCATGAACACCTTCCCAAGATCCGCCTTTCCTGTTTCAGTACAGGGTGTTCACCTGCTGCCCTGCATCTGCCTAATGGCCTCCTTATCTCTTTGCACAGGAAACAGAAGGAACTGGAAGAAATGCAAAGGGAGCGAAAGAGAGAGGAGAAACTTCGCAAGAGGGAGCGTAAGCAGAGGGACCGTGAGCTCCGGCGCAACCAGAAGAAGCTGGAGAAACGTCAGGCAGAGGAGCAGAAAAAGCTGCAGAAGATCAAGCTGGAGGAGCGGAAGCTGCTGCTGGCCCAGCGCAACCTGCAGTCCATCCGGCTGATTGCAGAGCTGCTGAGCCGTGCCAAGGTACCCAGGCTGGGCCTTACTCACAGGGGTGCATGCCTCCTGCTGTCACTCTTGGGTCAAGCCAAGGCCATGTGCCTTGTCTGGTTGTGGCCACAGCCAGAAGGAATAGGCTTCCCACAGAGGGTAACTGTCCTCTGGTGTGTGTAGGGTTCCTACCATGTTCCAGATTTCAGATTTAAGGACCTGATAGAGTTTTGAATTAAGTGTCACCTGTGTGCAGGCCTCCTGGGTGCTGGCCAGATGGCCTTGGGGTGCCAAAGCAAAGGGTCACTGTTTCCTGCAGAGATAAGGAGGAGTGGCAGAGCTCTCAGAGAGTCACTCGGCCTCCCTTTGCTCTCCTTCTGCTAGGAACATGCTGCCCAGGTCTGGTTAGGTCACCCAGCCTTACCCTGATTCCTCTAGGCCAGCAGTCTAGGGTGGGAGGACAAAGACTGAGCCTGGTCCCCAGGGATCCCATGATGCTTCACAGAACTTGCCCGGCTGCATCCCTCTTTTGCAGCTATGGTCTGACAGGTATTGGCTTGTGCTATGTGAGTGAACCCTCAGGGCTGAGAGCCTCCTCATGCCTCCCGGAGACCCAACCTGTAATTCCTGCAAGCTGGGCCCAGAGCCCAGATGGACAGACCTGAGCTTAGGCAGCCACTTACCCTGTGCAGTCCAAAATGGGGCAACCCCCTAATTTGATGTCCTCGGGAAGGACAATGGCAGGTGTGCTGAGACATGTAGCAGCTCAGCTCTTATTTCATGGTGAATATTGTTGACAGTGACTCAGGCTGGCCCAGCATGTCCCAACAGCCTGGGTGGCCTGTGTCTGTGTTGTCATCTCACTCCCTGTTGTGGTGACCCTGGAGGGGCCTGGGACCCCTCCCTCCCCAAAATGTGCTGTTCCAGGGCTCTGACAAGTAGCTTAATGGGGTGTGCACCTCAATGCGTGACTGCCAGGTGTGGCCGGCATGGGTGCTGTACCTGTCCAGGCCAAAGTCTGGCATCCCAGGCCATGAGGCCTTTGAGAACTCAGTGCAGCTCCAAGCATGTGGGCAGGTCCCAGACTTCTCTCAGCTCATGCCCTCTCTCCCGCAGGCCCTGAAGGTCCAGGAGCAGGAGCAGAAGGATCAGGCTCTGTGGCAGCAGCAGCTGGAGGAGAAGCAGTGGCTGCGGGACCCTGAGCTGAGGCCAGTGGAGGAGGAAGAGCGTGCCCTGAGGCTGCAGAGGAAGGAGAGGCAGCTTAGCCAGGGCCTGCTGAGCATCCTACTGAGCAAGAAGGCAGATGACTCACAGGTGCAGGACAGGCTTGGCGTGGCAAACTCGGACCTGCTGCAGCCCATGCTGGACATATTGCAGACAGTGTCAGCTGGGTATGTGAGTGCTACCTCCTCACATCTTTTGGCAGACCAGCTTTCCCCTAGCACCCCAAAGGAGACTCTTCTGTGGCCAGAGACAGAGTGCACTCCTAGAAATAGGAACAGGAACATGGTCAAGGACACTCAGTGCAGGGACCTACAGCCATCTCACCCAATCGCCCCCAACAATGTCTCCTGGCAGAAGAGATATCCAGCTGTTCTCTTTTGCATTCCTGAGAACAATCAGCAAACCAAGGGTGTCTCTGCCTCCTGCAACCAGAGTATACCCCAGAAAGATGTCCAGTCACAGAAGGCAGGCAATTGGGAGGATGGGAGGCAGCAGAAGGAGCAGAGGTCCCGCAAGAAGTGCTCACAACAGCCCAACAGCCCCCACCTGCTCAGTGCAAACCCTGCCCTTCCCCAGTCTCAAAGGTCCCAAAGCATACACTGCTGGGATCACAGGGAGAGGAGCCGAAACCACAGGGGTGGCTCAGGCAGGAATCTGAGCCGCCACCACCGCAGCCAGAGGTCCCGCTCTATGTCTCCCAGTAGGCACATCAGCACCTGGGACAAGTAATGCAGGGCGTGTCCTCCCCTCATCCCAGAACACTGGGACCTGAGGAGCATTCTGGCTCTTCTTTTCACTGCCTCAGAAGCACACAACCCAGGAGCCTCCATGTAGACAAAGGCAGCATGTCATGACTCTTTCAATGACAGGAGGCCCTTGAGTTCCACAGTGGAGCTGCCAGTCACTAGCCCTTAGTTTCCTTTAAGATGTTGATTGATAGTTTTAATTTTGCCAGTCCTCAATCTATAGAAATGGTCAGAGCCACAGTCCAGAGATGGCTGATCCATCACATGACAAGACAGGGCAGAATGTAAGTACCACTCAGCAACACCCTGCCCCATGTACCCTGATGTCATGGCATGTACCTGGCAGACGATGAGTGGTCAGCATGAGGATCCCATGGTACCATGGGGTGCAGAAAGAGAAAACCTTGCCCTGCTGGTGAATTTTCTTTCTTTTTGTAATTTTAACTGATTGGAACTTACAGTGGCTAGAATGCCAAAAGAACCAAGTGACCTCAGCAGAGGAAGTCACAGCTGGAGAAGGGAAGTCCTACAGGACTGACACTAAGATATGGTGCTGGACTTTCAAACTTTGAGGCATGGGGGCAGTAGCTTGCTGTTCCTTAAGTTCAGAACCATTCAGTTTTTTACAAATTCAATAACGCATAGAAAAGTTTGGTTAAAAGCTTTGGTTCCTAGTCAAGGTTAGTGTGTGTAGTTTTTAAAAGATGTTTTGATAAATTATTTTCACTTGGAATGTTTCAAACCATTTAAGGCTGCAAACTTGTTATATTTTATAATCATTTGCATTAGGAAAGATGGTGTTTATTCCAGTTTGCATTTTTATGGTGAAATAAAATTCTTTTCCAATGAACTAGTATTTTGCAGATTTTGTTTGTTGTAAATTCTTTGGACTCCATTGTTGAACTGAGCCTAGTTTAGTGTTTTTGAATTGATGGAAATCATTTGCTTTACCTAGAACTGCTAGTTTGCAAGGATGTTCTTCAGGGTGCTGTTATCAACTAACCCAGTAGAGGAGAATCCTGGGTTCTAAGAGCCATTCAGTTTGTTTACCAAGAACATAAAGTTTAGTGAATTCACTAAAGCAATATTTTTAAGGCCTAAATAGCTGCTTTTAAAAAACACAATATAGAAAAAGTGGTTCTTTACCCAACTAGAGAGTCAAGTTAGTGGATTAGGCTGGCCCTTGCTGGGACCCCAGACTGTGATGATAACAGATCTTCTCACCCTGCGTACAGCCAGTCTTGGGCAATCTCTCCCCCCCCCCC